CCACAGTTGAAGTCTGTTGTCTAGTCTGTGCCTGGCCTCGCCGTCATGATCCCACGCCTCGACTGATTGACTGTCTTGTAGAGGCTGTCTTTACAGGATTTGCTTGTGCCCGGCCGCCGGAACAAGGCACTGGAGAGGGTCGTCGAATCGGTGAGGCGCTGAATGTGCTCGGCGCTTTGGCCTGTCTCTTGCCTCGGTCTTGTCGGCTCCGCATGCTTCGTATAGCTTCGGACATTCTGGATGATCCTGTGTTGCTTGATCCCACGCCAATGCCTCCAGCCGATTTGACGTCTCTTAAGCAACGGTCTGGTGTCAACATATGGAGAAGGTCTCGGCGTGTCGACTGGCATGTGCGGCAGACAGTTGAGCTTGTGGCCGGAGGCGGAGCTGAAGCAGTACCATGTGGACATGTTGAGTCGACGGGTGAAAAGGAGACCGAGACAACGACTGGCAGTGGACGCAGAGAGGCACTGGCGACCCGAGCTGCGGCGGAATTTTTCCAGGCTCTTTTGCCAGTTGACTGGCCCCTTCAGCCGGTTCACTCAGCGGTTGACAGTTTTTCGGTAGGACGACTCTTCATTCTCTCTCCAACCATTTACATACATGAAGCCAATGCAAATAAATGACTTCTAAATGAGATGCGTTCACCCTATTTGATTTAAAGTGATGAATATCTGACAGTCGAATTTTCCCACAATGAAAATTCAACTACGAATCATTTATCACCATAAACCAAATAAGGTAAGCACACATATATCTGATTTACTAGTAGTCTCGAAAACCTACTTACAAACAGAAAAAATTGACTTTGTTGTAGTAAATCTCTTTCACATCTTTATATTTATGAAATATCAAAAAGTATGCGCTTGATGAGCGCCTAGCCATTTTCCGCGAATTGCGCTGATAAAAGTATCGCACATTACAAACTGACTCACAGGATATTTAGCCGAGTAGACTAATATGAGATGTATTCATTCTATTTCGTTTAGGACGATAAGGGTAGTTCAATTTTCCCACAATGATATAAGTATACATGACGCTTTCATTGAATTTCACATAGCCTTACCTCTCAAATTACATTATCATCCAGGCTGAAGTGGACTGAAGTTTCGACCTTGCCTGAACTGGTCGCATCAGCAACCCAGGCGGGACTCGGATATTGACAATTTAGGGTATAATCTTGACTCGTTAACCACTACGCCACATTGCCACGAGTTTCTCTTGCTTGGTCCCAGGGCAGATGTGTATTTCAAGGAAATACACTCATGGCGATATGACGTATTGGTTAACATGTAGAGATTATGCGCTAGAATTTCATGGTTCTCATCTCGCTGGGGGTGCCGATAAGACCTAGGCTAGGTCTAAACTGTAGTCCGTTTTAGCCTGGAAGAGAACACCTTTTGGGAAATCAAGGCTATGCGAAATAAAATGGAAACTTCACGCCTCTTCAGATCATTGTGGAAAAATTCAACTTCTAGTCTTCTTATCAGCCTAAATGAAATAGGATGAATTCATCACATTTGTATGATCTACTGGTAGTCTCGAAAGCCTAATTATTTACGAACAATTGATTTTATTAAAACATTTCATCTTCTGAAATAGTCACGAAACTAATCGCCGGTTGGAATTTTGGCTTTACGATGTATAAGATGAGCATGTTTAGAGAAATTGTCTCATCCGATTTGAAACAGTCTTCTGCTGATCTCAGCTTTAAACATGTCAGCGTTCTTCCATGGATTTCTTTTCACTTAGTGAATTCTCCATCCTGTGTGTGCTAGAAGAGCAAAGAACTATTGTTCTTACTTCACCTACTTATAGTTCCCCATATTCTAGACTTTAACATTTGAGTTAGCTTTTTATCTCTAAATTCGTATTTCTTATCATAACAGCTAATTATCTTTATCCAACTAGGTTCTACTCAATATACTAACCTCCCTTTGGCTGTTTTTATAGTTTATTAATGTCGTCTTGTCGATTTGGCTTAGAGTGAATAAATAGTTTTGACAGCTTATTTGTTCAAGATTTTTTGCAATAAATTTAGGAAACAGATTTTTCATATTATTTTTCACTATCCTCAGGTCACTATTCTATTTTCTCCTCATATATTTTATTAAACATGCAGTTTTTGCATCATAATGGTCTTCCTCTGCTGACATGGGCGTACGTTTTATTTCATTTTAAGAGGCGAGTGTAAGGGATTCACAAATTGGCCTTACTGGAAACTGAATAAGATTGTCTTGTAGTGAAGGCTGCTGAGCTGTGCGAAGGAGTTATAGGCTTACCATCTTGCGATGAATCTGTGTCCCTCTGGTTTCCGGTGAGGCCAGTGTTTTTCTGCTCTTACCGGTTACTTTTGGCCTTCTTTGCTAAGCTCTCTTTTATGATACACCATCCAGCTTTGGATTAAGATTAGTAAATTTTGGTTGCAATTAATTGAATTTATAGTTGCCTAGACTCGTTCATACGGTTACTTGATGGAGAGATATGCTCTTTTAACTACAATGTTTGTGACAAGCAACATTGGCTTACTCGGAAATAGCTTTTTCTGTCTGTGTCTCACGGAAAATAAGAGATGTAATTATGCTCCCATCAACTGTGTCTCTGGGTCCTGATTGCCCTGATGTCATCTCATCTTGGTGCTACCTCTAAATCAAATTTAGTCAAAGATAAAGAGATACATTCCAAAAGATTTTTCAGGAATTGATGCTCTTGTAAAATCAAAATTAGACAAGGTACACGTAATTCATCATGTAGGTAGTCTTCACCTGGTTTACAACACTTTTATAACGCCCTCATCTTAAGTGAGATTCATAACAGTTCTGTAATTACGTATGCCTTTTTCAAGCCAAATTTATCAACAGTATCATGATTTGTTCCAGTTGCTTTGAAGGATTAACTTGCTTTGTTGTTTCTCACGAATTCCAAATTATATAAAGATGTTCATTAACGAACTTATTAGCTTTTACATACATTTACATTCTCTCTTTTCTGGACTCTTCTATTTACTGATATATTAATCCTCAAATTCACTTGAGCCGCATTTTGATAAGCCACATATTCATTTTTTTTATCTACTTTTATTCTCCGCCGCCTCTTCCATCCCTCATCCTTCTTCATTCCTTAACCTCTTTTTTTCAGCTTCACACATCAAATATTCCCCCAACCAAACGATTCAATCCCTCTGATCACGAAGGGCAAACCTCCTCTTCGACTGGGAGTTGTGGAGATGGGCAGATTGTGCCTCGCCACCTCTTCAAAGCTGCTCTCTGGCACGCTATCTGGACACATGCCAACACAAGCCAGTTGACCACTATGCCTACGTGAGTCGTTTCCTCTCCTTCTACATTACGCTGGAAACATATATTTGGTTGTACGAAGGGATTTTTGCTTGTATTGAATAATGGAGAGGAAGCCATTGACTCCAAATATATTTGGCTGTCATAGGAATAAAAAAACTAGCATAGTAAACAGACTTAGGGATGTTGCTTTTGACATAATCCACCATCTACTATTTATGTTTGTAACATAGTACAAGC